CCAATCAGTTTACACACCCAGGGCAAACATGGTTTTAGAACAGGTCGCTCCTGTCTGTCTCAATCTATTCGACAACTACGACCAGGTCCTAAATGCACTAGAAGACAAAAAGGGAATGCAGATGTAATAAAACAGACTTTGCAAAAGCCCTTTCGACAAGTGTGGACCATGGCGTAATAGCGCACAAAATGCTTGCTAAAGGAATAACAGTAAAAAGTCGGTTCGAAGGATCAATAATTCCCACTAATAAGAACACAGAGAGTAGTCGCCACGAGTAAAGTCCGAGGCAGCTAACGGTTTGAAAAGCTCTGTTCCACAAGGCACAGTACTCGCTCACCATCTTGTTCCTCATCCTTATATCCGACATAGACAATGATGTCAGCCACAGCCACCGTGTCTTCCTTTGCAGATGACACCCGAAATCTCATGAACAGTGTCTTCCATTGTCAGTACACTGGCAAAGCTCCAGGCAAGACATCAACCAAATCATTCAGTGGGCTGCAGAAAACAATATGAAGTTCAACGATGAGAAATTTCAATTACTCCAGATATTGTAAACATGAGGAAATTAAATCCTTCATCAGAGTGACAAAACAAATTCTGCCACAGAATAGAGCGAAACACCAACGTCAAAGACCTGGAGTGATCATGTCCGGATGATCTCATCCTTTCAAGGACCATAACACTGTATCAATCGCAGTTGCTAAGAAAAATGACAGGATGGATAATGAGGAACCTTCAAAACAGGGAGGCAAAGCCCCATGATGACACTCTTCAGGTCACTTGTCTATCAAGGCTAGGAATATTGCTGCACACTAACACACCTTTCAAGGCAGGTGAAATTGCCGACCTAGAAAATGTACAGAGAACTTTCACGCGCGCATAACGTAGATAAAACACCTCAATTATTGGAGCGCTTTGAGGTTCCTAACCTGTTATTCGCCTTGGAACGCAGGAGGGAGAGATACAAGATTAAATACACCTGGAAAATTCCTAGAGGGACTAGTACGAACTTGCAACACGAAAAACACCCCTACGAAAGCAAAAGACGTTGCAGACGATGCACCATCCCCCCAATGAAAGCAGGGGTGTCACTACACGTTAAGAGACCCATACAATAAGTGTCATGGGCCCCGAGACTTTCAATACTGCGCTCCAGCACACATAAGGTTGATTTTACAACAGACCCCTGGCAGTCTCAATCTGGCACTGGACAAGCACCTAAAGTCAGTTCCCCGGTTCAGCCGGGCTGAGGCTCGTATGTTGGTTGGCGTGCAGCCAGCAGCAACAGCCTGGTTGATCAGGCTTCTTGATCCGACCAGGAGGTCCTGGTCTCAAACCGGGCCGCGGGGGCGTTGGACCCCCGTAACTACTCGTCCAGGTAAAACTCAGGTATATATATATATAAATATAATATATATATATATATATATATAAAAATATATTATATATATATAAATAAACACTGATCCCTGGCTGAAGGAGACTCGAACCTACGCAAAACAACCACTGTGAAAGAGTAGTGAAATTCCAAGCGCTTTCATGACTACTCATATTGTCAAGGAACTACAGCAGGCCTGTTGGCCCACACTTGGTGGGTTCTTTACAATTCATCACACTAACAAACCCAACCCAATTTTCAATGCTACCCAAGAAATAAGCTCTGATGTGCAAGTCCCACTCAAATCCAACCCCTCTCACTCATATATTTTTCCAACCTAAATTTGAAACTACCCAAGGTCCTGGCCTCAATAACCCAACTAGGTAGACTGTTCCACTCATCAACTACCCTGTTTCCAAACCGGTGCTTTCCTACATCCTTTCTAAATCTAAACTTGTTTAATTTGAATCCATTACTGCAGGTTCTCTCTTGGAGAGATATCTTCAAGACCTTATTTATATCCCCTTTATAATACCCAGTCTTCCACTTATACACTCTAACATTGTCATAGTTCCTTGACAATGTGAGTATTCACGAAAGCGCTTGGAATTTCACTAACTCTTTTCACATTGTTGTTTTGCCATATTTTAAAAATCACTGTTTATTACTGTGATCTTATTGCATATATACATATATACATACATACATACTTACATACATAAATATACATACATACAAACATACATACAGTGAACCCCCAGTATATTAGTCTTGTGCAATAATTAGCCCAATTCGTAAATCGACACATACTTTTAATCAGCGAAATTATCCCCCCAGAATTTAGTGGATCCGCTCTGGAATAGTTTGTTACGAGACGCACCCACCCGGCCGTCTAGACGCTGTACCTCACGCGTATCACATTCAGTCTCTCTCTCTCTCTCTCTCTCTCTCTTATCCAGTAAGGAGTACTCCGTGCCTTCATCCATTGTTTTTTGTACTTTCTTCATTGTTTTTGTGCTTGTTTATTGTTTATTGACATGAAATAAGCCACCATGATGCCCAAAAAAGTTTCAGAGTCCAATCCATTTGGTAAAAAGGTGAGAGACATGATAGAATTCAAGAAAGAAGTCATAACAAAATATGAGAGTGGCATATATGTGGCAGAACTGGCCAGGATGTATGGGAAATCTACATCAACAATCTGTTCCATCCTGTTGAAGAAAGCAGAAATCAAAAAAGCTGATGTTGAGAAAGATGTAAATATACTAATAAAACAGAGGTCTCAAATAATCGAGGATGTGGAGAAGTTGTTGGTGTGGGTCTATGAGAAACAATTAGTGGGAGATAGTGTTTTGGAGAGGATAATTTGCGAGAAAGGCAGTTGCATGCGGATCTCATAAAGAAAATGTCAGGAACAAGTGCTGCTGTTATTTATATTAAGAGAATTTAAGGCCAGCAAAGGCTGGTTCAACAGATTCAAGAAGCAAAGTGGCGTACACAGTGTGGTAAGGCATGGCGAGGCTGCAAGTTCTGACAAACATGCTGCCGAAGCATTCGTCGATGAATTCAAGGGGTACTTAGAGGCTGAAGGATTCCTTTCTCAACAAGTGCTCAGTTGTGACAAAAGAGGCCTCTTTTGAAGAAAATGTCAAAGAAGACCTACATCACACACACAGATGAAAAGTCACTGTCGCAGGAACACAAGCCTATGAAGGATAGGCTAAAAGGGCTCTGTGTTCTTTGGTAATGCTAGTGGGGATTTCAAAGTGAAACCTTTACTGGTGTATCACTCTGAAAATCCCAGAGTGTTCAAGAAAAACAGTGTTTGTCAAGAGTAAATAGTGTGTGAGAGTGGCAACTAAAAATAAGGCCAATGGGTCAATTGCAGAAATTTTTCAAAGAGTGGTCCATGATGTGTTTTGGCCCAAGTGTTAAGAATACCTCCTGGAAAATATTTGCCACTCAAGTGCCTCCTGGTAATAGAAAATACTCCTTCCTCATCCCTCCAGGACTTGGAAGACCTATTGTCTTGAAGAGATTGAATTCATCATAGTGAATTCTTGCCCCCTAAAACCACTCTCCACATTCCAGCCCAATAGGACCAGCAGGTTAATTTAAACTTCAAAAAACTTACACCCAAATCAATGTTTCAAAGTGCTTTGGAAGTGACCTCGGACACTGAAGATTGACCCTAAGCACGGGCCAGGAGGGATCACTTCATATCCCTTAATTGCATAAGCCTTATAGAAGATGGAAGTTGACTTCCAGGATTTTGAACTCCTGCTTTAAGGAAATTTGCTGGCCAATTGTGTCCCAAGAGAAGGATTTGAAGAGTTTAGGCTGACCCTGAGGACGCCTATGCTATTGTGGAATCTACTGTGGCACTGAGGAAGTCCATGGGGTTGGATGTGAGTGGCCAGGATGTGGAAGAGTTGGTGGACGATCACAGGGAAGAGCTAACCACTGAAGAGCTGCAACACCTTTAACTGGAACAGCAACAGACTGCAGCTGAGGATATTGCTTCAGAGGAGGAAGAGAGGGGAGAGAATGTGCTTTCTTCAACAATTAAGGACTTTTGTGCAAAGTGGAGTGAGGTGCAATGTTTTGCAGAGAAATATCACCCTAACAAAGCTGTTGCAAGCTGTGTCTGCAACATGTTCAATGACGATGTATTCTCCCATTTTAGGAAAATTTTAAAGAGATGCCAGAAACAGACCTCTCTGGACAGATTTTTTGTACAACAGGGGTAGTGACTCTCAAGCTGGTCCTAGTGCCAGTAAAAGATAAAGAAGGGAAGTAACCCAAGAGAGAGCTTTGATACCTGAAGTCTGTATGGAGGGGAATTTCCCTTCCAAACAATAACCTCAACTCTCTCTCCTCTTCTCGCATTTTTCCATATGCCAACAAGTTTTCAATAAGGATATGCAATGTTCATTTATTATTAAATTTAGTGCATTATTTGTATTTCTCATTGTTTTGTGTATGTAAAACTATAGGTATTCTTTAAAAAATGTATTTTTTGTTAATATTTTTGGGTGTCTGGAACGGATTAATTGGATTTACATTATTTCTTATGGGAAATGTTACTTCGGTTTTAGGCCATTTTGGATTTAGGCCGACCTTCTGGAACTGATTAATATAATGTAATATAATGAAGGGAGGATGATTTTAAAAGTTACAGAAATACTCTTCTAAGAGAGAAGTTTCAATGCAAGTGAGGGTGGTGCTCTTGATCCCAGGAACTGGACATATCCTCCCCTCTTCGAAAATTCCTCTCATACCCCCCATAAGATACTATAAGACCCCTGTGGGTTTAGCTCTCCTTTTCTTGAGGGGTACTGCAACTACGATGCTTAACCTGGATTATCCCGATAATAAACGTGACCTTTAACCTCTGTGACCCTCTGTGACCCCTGAGCTGGTCCTTAGTGACCTAGTGTATCAGTGTGACCCTCCATGACCCCTGAACTGGTCCCTAGTGACCTAGTTTATCAATGTGACCCATGCATGACCCCTGAGCTGGTCCCTAGTGACCTAGTGTATCAGTGTGACCTCTCCATGACCCCTGAGCTGGTCTCTAGTGACCTAGTGTATCACTGTGACCCCTGACACCACTGACCTCCTGAGGCAGGGGAACCACCTGCAGAGGCAGCTGGTCTTCCACAGATGGTAGAGTGGCGTCGTCCACTGTATCTACCTCCTTCATGCTGCTTGTCTTCACCTCCTCCTCTTCCTTTTCCTTCTTCGTCTGCTTCTCGTCCACTTTCTTCTCGTCCACTTTCTTCTCGTCCACTTCCTTCTCGTCCACTTTGTTGTTATAGAAGGAATGATCAACAAGTTCTTCTGCTCTTGGTATCTCCAGGAAGCTGGCAGCTTGTAGCTTCTGGACACCTGCCTTCTCCTGTATGACACAAACACAGTGTTTAATATTGTATATAATAACACACAGAGCTGTAGAATAAGACACATGTATGATCCACTTTGAGGACAGCGTGAAACAAGCTTTTATGCCACAAGACGGGCAGAAAGCAGCAACTTTACTGTGGCTGTACCCTTCTCCAGAACTTCACTCCATCTGAGATCATATATACCCAGGATGACTCGAGTATGGAACACATTCTAACAGCATAATGATGTCAACGAGATAAAGTCAGTTGATCAAATGAAAATGCTGGCCCACAGATGGCTCCAACTTCATCCTGTTCCCTACTTGTATGTCTCATAATAATAAAAATGCTTTCAAATGAGCTGATGTAGGTAACAGTTCTTAGCTTGCCAATAAAGTTAGGAATCCTTAACCTGTAAATAGCTTGTCAATAAAGCTAGGGATCCTTAACCCTGGTTTAGAAAGACACGTAAGCAAACACTATAACATATTTATTAGAAAACGTTTCGGTCCTGGGACCTTGATCACTTCTAACATACAGAGGTAGAAAGACATTATATATATAGGCGGAGAGCGAGATGTGACGCACGTGACCTGAGGAATGTCATAAGAACATAAGAATGGAGGAACACTGTAGAAGGCCTACTGACCCATGCGAGGCAGGTCCTTATCAAAACAACCTCTGCCTATGATGAGGACGGGTAGACGATGAAATCATGTGATTCCTGTGTTGTTGGGTTGGTGCTGCTTAAGTATCATGTATGCCAATGTTTTTGAAATTTTGTAGTTTCCAGTGTTGCGTTCTATAGTGTCGGTGACGGTGATTAGTGAGGCTTCTAGGCACCGTCGGCGTCTGAGGTCTGGTTCGGTGAGAACGAGTTGTGCCTCGTTCCAGTTCATCAAATGCCCCGTGGAGTCTCTGTGGAGGACACAGGCGTACCTTACATCGTCTCTGTTAAAGGCATTTCGATGCTCATTCAGGCGGACTGCAAGATCTCTGCCTGTCTCGCCTACATATTTCTTGGGACAGAACCCACAGGGGATAGTGTAGACGCCTGCTGTAGAAGTTAGAGGTGTGGGGCTGCGTTTAGTAGTGAGGTCTTTGATAGAGGATGTGTTTATGGTGGAAACGTTGATGTTACTCATAGCAAGTGCCCGGCGAGTATTCGTGGCAACATCGCCACATGGGAGTACTATGAACTGTTTAGGGGGCTGTTCCATGGGCGGTTTGTTGAGGATAGCTTGTGCCTTGAGTCTGCAATCTCGGATGAAGAAAGATGGGAACTGAAGACGTGTAAAGGCTTGTGTTATGTAAGTGCATTCTTCTTCTAGAAAACAAGGGCTGGAGATGCGAAGAGCTCTCAAGAAGAAACCAATGAGGACTCCTCTCTTAGTGCGGGTATCTTGGTGTGAATAAAAGTGTATAAGATCATCCTTGTTGGTAGGTTTTCTATACACTTTGAAGAGAAGTTTGTCACTGTCGGGAGATCTGCACAGTAGAACGTCGAGGAAAGGAAGTTTGCCATCATTTTCGAGTTCAAGTGTAAACTTTATTGATGGTTCAACTGCATTGATCTTGTTGAGAAGGGCCTGGATATTGAGACGTCTCGGATAGAAAACCAATATATCATCAACGTATCTTAGCCAGGTAACGGTGTTGGGAATGAGGCTGCTGAATTTCTCTGTCTCCAAGTTTTCCATGAAGAGGTTGGCAAGCACAGCACTGAGCGGGCTGCCCATTGCCATCCCAAAGCATTGTTTGTAACAGTTGTCCTGATACTTGAAGAAGTTGAAATTAACACACAATTCCACTAGATTGATGAAATCTAGAAGAGGTAAAGGGAGGTCGTGGTTTTCAGTGAGCCTCTGTCTCAGAATGTTGATTGCAGTGTCAGTAGGAACGTTGGTAAAGAGGGCTGTGACATCGAAGGAAGCCATGCTTTTGTTTTTGACATTCAGGTTGGAAATTCGGGAGAGAAGGTCACCTGAATGTTTGAGGTGGGCTTGACTGATGGTGCCCAGAAGCGCTGAAAGGTATTTGGCAAGGTGGCCGGCTAGTCTGTGTGGTGCACTCCCTATGCCCGAAGTGATAGGCCGTAGTGGGATGCCAGGTTTGTGTGTCTTAGGAAGGCCATACAGGCGTGCTGGTTTCGGTTGACCTGGTAAAAGTTTAAGTAGTTTTTTGCCTTGTTCTGATTTTCGTAAGATGCTACGAGCCGTTACCTGGCTAAGATACGTTGATGATATATTGGTTTTCTATCCGAGACGTCTCAATATCCAGGCCCTTCTCAACAAGATCAATGCAGTTGAACCATCAATAAAGTTTACACTTGAACTCGAAAATGATGGCAAACTTCCTTTCCTCGACGTTCTACTGTGCAGATCTCCCGACAGTGACAAACTTCTCTTCAAAGTGTATAGAAAACCTACCAACAAGGACGATCTTATACACTTTTATTCACACCAAGATACCCGCACTAAGAGAGGAGTCCTCATTGGTTTCTTCTTGAGAGCTCTTCGCATCTCCAGCCCTTGTTTCTAGAAGAAGAATGCACTTACATAACACAGCCTTTACACGTCTTCAATTCCCATCTTTCTTCATCCGAGATTGCAGACTCAAGGCACAAGCTATCCTCAACAAACCGCCCATGGAACAGCCCCCTAAACAGTTCATAGTGCTCCCATGTGGCGATGTTGCCACGAATACTCGCCGGGCACTTGCTATGAGTAACATCAACGTTTCCACCATAAACACATCCTCTATCAAAGACCTCACTACTAAACGCAGCCCACACCTCTAACTTCTACAGCAGGCGTCTACACTATCCCCTGTGGGTTCTGTCCCCAAAAAATATGTAGGCGAGACAGGCAGAGATCTTGCAGTCGCCTGAATGAGCATCGAAATGCCTCTAACAGAGACGATGTAAGGTACGCCTGTGTCCTCACAGAGACTCCACGGGGCATTTGATGAACTGGAACGAGGCAAAAACTCGTTCTCACCGAACCAGACCTCAGACGCCGACGGTGCCTAGAAGCCTCACTAATCACCGTCACCGACACTATAGAACGCAACATGGAAACTACAAAATTTCAAAAACATTGGCATACATGATACTTAAGCAGCACCAACCCAACAACACAGGAATCACATGATTTCATCGTCTACCCGTCCTCATCATAGGCAGAGGTTGTTTTGATAAGGACCTGCCTCGCATGGGCCAGTAGGCCTTCTACAGTGTTCCTCCATTCTTATGTTCTTATGACATTCCTCAGGTCACGTGCGTCACATCTCGCTCTCCGCCTATATATATAATGTCTTTCTACCTCTGTATGTTAGAAGTGATCAAGGTCCCAGGACCGAAACGTTTTCTAATAAATATGTTATAGCGTTTGCTTACGTGTCTTTCTAAACCAACTTGTCGGTATTTATTACCAAGGTTTATACCATCCTTAACCCTGTCAAACCCTGTGTAAAAAAAAAAAAAAAAAAAAAACACTTGGGTGTAGAGCTCCACGGAGCTCTACACTTCTAAGGGCTGGGAGACTGATTACCCTACACTCCTCTTCTTGCACCTTTCTACTTTGTATTGGACTGATGAAGCCACTGTGTGGCGAAACGTTTCTTTAAGATTCTTAAAGATTCCCATATGTTACATAAGTGTCTCAATCTTCAACTTGTCGGTTTTCAAAACCATTCCTCCACATAGGTTGACTGACTGATTCCATCATTTCTACTTCACCACTACGCCTGCTGTCTCAATATTTGACTGAAGAAGGCTACTGGTTAAGGAAAACGTTTAATTCAGCAATAAAGTCACCCAAGTGTTGTACATGTCTTGCTCACAAGTCTCAGACTTACCGACTTAAACACAATAACACAAATATTTATATCTATTATTTAATAATTCAGGACACAAAGGTTATTAGAAATTAATGAGTGTGTAAACTAGTGGCTTAGGCTGGTAGGTGGCTTGGACCTGCCTCGCATGGGCCAGTAGGAGTTCTGCAGTGCTACTTCTTTCTTGCGTTCTTATATTTATGGCAACTCGTTCTTAGATGTACGAGTGTACTAAAAGGTACTAGGAATTAGTGAACATAAGAACGTAAGAAAGGAGGAACACTGCAGTAGGCCTGTTGGCCCATACTAGGCACGTCCTTCACTCATACTAGTATGATATTACTATAAGGTATTAAGAACTAATGCTAGTATATTACTACAAGGTACTAAGAACTAATGCTATATATATTACTACAACGTACTAAGAACTAGTGCTAGTGAGACAGGTACTATCCAGGGATGTGGAAAAATACACATACAGTTCAGGACATTTACTAAAGGAAACGTATTGCCACTAGTAGGGTGTTGAGTCGTCATACAGTGACGACTGAGGTAGGTTCAAGAGGACGGGTACTGACCCGGGTCTTCTCCATGTTGTGACCCGGGGCTGGGTCACATGGGTCAGAACCCGTCCTGGCTAACATACCTCTATCATCACAATGTTAGAACTCAAGAAGACACTCGTGGCGAAAAGTTGCCTCTAATAAATGTCCTCAACTGTACATAAATGTCTTTTTCCACATCTTGTCGGTATCACTTGACAATTTTTCAGAACAGGACAGAGTGAGAGAGGTTTCCCTGGTGTATTTACCTGGTGACAGTAAAAAGAAAGGTCCCCTGGTGTATTTACCTAGTGACAGTAAAAAGAAAGGTCCCCCTGGTGTATTTACCTGGTGACAGTAAAAAGAAAGGTCCCCCTGGTGTGTTTACCTGGTGACAGTAAAAAGAAAGGTCTCCCTGGTGTATTTACCTGGTGACAGTAAAAAGAAAGGTCCCCCTGGTGTATTTACCTGGTGACAGTAAAAAGAAAGGTCCCCCCTGGTGTATTTACCTGGTGACAGTAAAAAGAGAGGTCCCCCTGGTGTATTTACCTGGTGACAGTAAAAAGAAAGGTCCCCCTGGTGTATTTACCTGGTGACAGTAAAAAGAAAGGTCCCCCTGATGTATTTACCTGGTGACAGTAAAAAGAAAGGTCCCCCTGGTGTATTTACCTGGTGACAGTAAAAAGAAAGGTCCCCCTGGTGTATTTACCTGGTGACAGTAAAAAGAGAGGTCCCCTGGTGTGTTTACCTGGTGACAGTAAAAAAGAGAGGTTTCCCTGGTGTGTGTGTTTACCTGGTGACAGTTGCATGACCTGGATGACAGGTAGTTGGACGTTATGATGAAGAATCCGATAATAAGAGCCGAGGCGACCACAGTCACACACACCATCTTGACGATCTGCACTCTGTTACTCTTGTCACGACGATAAGCCTGTCCAGAGAAACACAACTACGTAAATACAATAATAAATACAATAGTATTTTATTCTGGAAAGGAATAAATTGCGTTTATATAAGTTATACAACTAAACACATGATTTCTAAAATAGAAAGTTCACATGAGAAGGTATTTATTGTGTATGGAAATGTATATAATTAAGGAAATAACGGTGGTGGTGTAGCAGTGTTGATAATAATGTGTATAAATGCATCTGATATATTAATAATATAAACTACATAAGAAGAAATATTAGAGGAGGATGACAGACTGGATAATTACAACTTTCAAAAACTCTTGGAATTTATCAGAAATATACTCAAAAAGTATACTTAAACTATCAAAATCTTGCTACAGGGATTTATCCTTCTTGTTATAAATCCTGGGATTATCAGTGGATGCTGATGTTCATCGTTCACATTACGAAATATTTTTTTTATCTATAAACACTCACTAAGTTTTTATATATATTGTAAGACACGGGATTTAAGCCAAAGTGGGTTAATTAAGTTGAGCCGTTCCGGGTTTTTGCAGCGATAAAATTTTGAGAGATTGGAAACTATTCCAAGATTTACTTCCGGTGAGTCTTCATAACTGAGAAGAATAGAAAAGTCTGCCTGAATATTTTAATTTCTCTCAGATGGTTTTCTTTATAACCTGAGAATGAGTTGTCAGATCGCCTTCAACTTTTTATCTCTGGTATAGTGTGTGGAAAGGTTGGTGCAGCTGTTAAACCTCCCAAGAACATCACTGCGAGTAAACACACAAGCATGCATACAAGTATACATACAAGTTGTAGATGAATGGTTCAGAGAACCGGCATGTTGTTGAATTAGACACATGTGCAACTCTTGGGTATAATTACTGAGGAAACGTTTCGCCACACACTGCCTTCATCAGTCCATACACAGGAGAAACTTGAAAAACAGGAGGAGAATGAATGATTGTAGATGAATGGTTCTCTGAACCATTCATCTACAATCCTGTCAGACACTGCAACTTCTTGGGATCTTAATACTTGGGAATTCTTCACTTGTCTAAACCCTTGGGCACGACCTACTTCCACATTGGACAAATGTGACACCACCTACGACTGCTGCCTCTCACCTGTCTACGGTTTAAAAGCTACTTCTCCGCTCATATGCCGTATTCTATTCAAGATTGATGGACTGACCACATCGACTCAAGGCTGAGGGACTGATTACCTCATTCTCCTCCTGTTCTTCAAGTTTATCCTTTGTATGGACTGATGAAGCCACTGTGTGGCGAAACGTTTCCTCAATAAAGATACCCAAGAGTTGCACATGTGTCTAATTCAACATACATACAAGTATACACATAAGCAAGGAGGCCATCATGGGCCCCACGAGTCTATGCTAACCTCCCTATGATGTATAGAAGTATACCTCGTTATATGGATCTTTTAAGAGCCAGTTGGTCCAGCTGTTAACGCACTGGACCACTTGCCATGGGTTCTAGTCTCCACTCCTTCCATGATTTATTTACAGTAGTGTTGTTACGATTACATGACTCATTACCGTTACTTCGCCAGCTTTGTTGACACATTACGTCAGAGCCAAGAATGTTGGTGTTACGTAGAGGAGGTAATGAGGGGAGGGTGTGTACTCACCTAATCTCACCTAATTGTGGTTGCAAGGGTCGAGTCATAGCTCCTGGTCCCGCCTTTTCACTAGTCTCTACTAGGTCCACTCTCCCCCTGCTCCATGAGCTTCATCATACCTTTTCTTAAAGCCATGTATGGATCCTGCCTCCACTACATCATTCTCCAGATTATTCCGCTTGCTATGTGTGTGTGTGTAGTTCCATCAGTGTTCCAGCAGGAGCAGTAGGAAGCCTTGACGTCACTGCAAGAACACGCAGCGTTGGCAACCAGCAACCAAGGTCAACCCACGTACATTACTCAACACTTCAAGGTTCTACAACCAGACGTCAACCAAATTTGTTTGAAATGATAAAAAAAAATATTTTAGAAGCATCACTGTAGCCAACTTCTCGTTCCTGTATAATATACTTGGTACCAGAGGTGAGAGCCATGTAGAGTATGGTGGTCATGTAGAGTATGTAGGTCATGTAGAGTATGTAGGTCATGTAGAGTATGTAGGTCATGTAGAGTATGTTGGTCATGTAGAGTATGTTGGTCATGTAGAGTATGTTGGTCATGTAGAGTATGTAGGTCATGTAGAGTATGTAGGTCATGTAGAGTATGTAGGTCATGTAGAGTATGTAGGTCATGTAGAGTATGTTGGTCATGTAGAGTATGTAGGTCATGTAGAGTATGTAGGTCATGTAGAGTATGTAGGTCATGTAGAGTATGTTGGTCATGTAGAGTATGGTGGTCATGTAGAGTATGTTGGTCATGTAGAGTATGTAGGTCATGTAGAGTATGTAGGTCATGTAGAGTATGTAGGTCATGTAGAGTATGTAGGTCATGTAGAGTATGTAGGTCATGTAGAGTATGTTGGTCATGTAGAGTATGTTGGTCATGTAGAGTATGTAGGTCATGTAGAGTATGTAGGTCATGTAGAGTATGTAGGTCATGTAGAGTATGTAGGTCATGTAGAGTATGTTGGTCATGTAGAGTATGTTGGTCATGTAGAGTATGTTGGTCATGTAGAGTATGTAGGTCATGTAGAGTATGTAGGTCATGTAGAGTATGTAGGTCATGTAGAGTATGTAGGTCATGTAGAGTATGTTGGTCATGTAGAGTATGTAGGTCATGTAGAGTATGTAGGTCATGTAGAGTATGTAGGTCATGTAGAGTATGTTGGTCATGTAGAGTATGTAGGTCATGTAGAGTATGTAGGTCATGTAGAGTATGTAGGTCATGTAGAGTATGTAGGTCATGTAGAGTATGTAGGTCATGTAGAGTATGTAGGTCATGTAGAGTATGTAGGTCATGTAGAGTATGTAGGTCATGTAGAGTATGTTGGTCATGTAGAGTATGTAGGTCATGTAGAGTATGTTGGTCATGTAGAGTATGTTGGTCATGTAGAGTATGTTGGTCATGTAGAGTATGTTGGTCATGTAGAGTATGTTGGTCATGTAGAGTATGTAGGTCATGTAGAGTATGTTGGTCATGTAGAGTATGTAGGTCATGTAGATTATGCAGGTCATGTAGATCACATAGGTCATGTTGTCACTACCACCTCCTGCACTGCAGACACCTACAACACGCAGAGGGACACGGGAGTCCAGGTATTTAACATTCAACTCCTCACCGACACAATGTACGTATTTACCCGCATGAATATGTAGATACTGAGCTACAGCTCCTGAGTCCTAGTGTATAACTGCCCCTATGTAGTTCCTTTAATTCGTTTTAATGTGATTCTCAAGGGTAAAAGATCACAAGAAACATTAATATGTGAAATACAACAACACACTGCGAATATATACCAAGGTGTGGGGATACTCTTTGTATATACCAAGGTGTGGGGATACTCTTTGTATATACCAAGGTGTGGGGATACTCTTTGTATATACCAAGGTGTGGGGATACTCTTTGTATATACCAAGGTGTGGGGATACTCTTTGTATATACCAAGGTGTGGGGATACTCTTTGTATATACCAAGGTGTGGGGATACTCTTTGTATATACCAAGGTGTGGGGATACTCTTTGTATATACCAAGGTGTGGGGATACTCTTTGTATATACCAAGGTGTGGGGATACTCTTTGTATATACCAAGGTGTGGGGATACTCTTTGTATATACCAAGGTGTGGGGATACTCTTTGTATATACCAAGGTGTGGGGATACTCTTTGTATATACCAAGGTGTGGGGATACTCTTTGTATATACCAAGGTGTGGGGATACTCTTTGTATATACCAAGGTGTGGGGATACTCTTTGTATATACCAAGGTGTGGGGATACTCTTTGTATATACCAAGGTGTGGGGATACTCTTTGTATATACCAAGGTGTGGGGATACTCTTTGTATATACCAAGGTGTGGGGATACTCTTTGTATATACCAAGGTGTGGGGATACTCTTTGTATATACCAAGGTGTGGGGATACTCTTTGTATATACCAAGGTGTGGGGATACTTTTTGTATATACCAAGGTGTGGGGATACTCTTTGTATATACCAAGGTGTGGGGATACTCTTTGTATATACCAAGGTGTGGGGATACTTTTTGTATATACCAAGGTGTGGGGATACTCTTTGTATATACCAAGGTGTGGGGATACTCTTTGTATATACCAAGGTGTGGGGATACTCTTTGTATATACCAAGGTGTGGGGATACTTTTTGCATATACCAAGGTGTGGGGATACTCTTTGTATATACCAAGGTGTGGGGATACTCTTTGTATATACCAAGGTGTGGGGATACTCTTTGTATATACCAAGGTGTGGGGATACTTTTTGTATATACCAAGGTGTGGGGATACTCTTTGTATATACCAAGGTGTGGGGATACTCTTTGTATATACACTCAGAGTTTATTATAATTATTATTTGGGCATCCATATAAAGTACCTTGTGTACCTTGTACAAAACATCACATAATGTGTGGACCAAACATGTGTATAAGAGGGTGTGGGAGGTGTTAGTGTGGACCAAACGTGTATAAGAGGGTGTGGGAGGTGTTAGTGTGGACCAAACGTGTATAAGAGGGTGTGGGAGGTGTTAGTGTGGACCAAACATGTGTATAAGAGGGTGTGGGAGGTGTTAGTGTGGACCAAACGTGTATAAGAGGGTGTGGGAGGTGTTAGTGTGAACCAAACGTGTATAAGAGGGTGTGGGAGGTGTTAGTGTGGACCAAACGTGTATAAGAGGGTGTGGAAGGTGTTAGTGTGGAACAATCATGTATATGAGAGGGTGTGGGAGGTGTTAGTGTGGAGCAAACATGTGTATAAGAGGGTGTGGGAGGTGTTAGTGTGGACCAAACGTGTATAAGAGGGTGTGGGAGGTGTTAGTGTGGAACAATCATGTATATGAGAGGGTGTGGGAGGTGTTAGTGTGG